GCCAGAGCTGCTCCAGGAGATCCCAGAAGGTGGCATGGGTCATGCAAAAGGCCTCCAGCCACTACTCATCATCCCAGGTGTGCTGGATGACATGCAGCCTTCAGTCCTGGCTGACCTTGCAGGCCCAGAAGCAGTGGGGATGGAGGCCAAGAAGGGCAACAGAGACCCTGGAGGTGACATCCTGGAGCCCATTGGTGATGTCCCTGCCGGGGTCTGGCCAGGTGGACAGAGTTGAGGTAGCAGGCGCATGGGGGAGCCAGGAGAGGCAAGACAGCTGTGGGCCAGGTGGTGGTCAGCATGGAGTGCAGGGTGCTGGTTGTTGCTGCTAGGGGCAGAGGCAGGAGCAGCCATGGTATAGGGAGACAGAGGTGGCAAGGAGAGTGCTGCTGCCTGCTGTCCCTGTGCTGCACACACTGCTCCCGGCCAGGCAAGTGACTGTCCTGGCTTTTGAAGAGGGCTTCCAGTTGCTAGCAGCTGCAACCAGAACCTGGTGCTCCCCCCCCCCCCCCCCCCCCCCCCCCACTCCCACCCAGTGGTGGTAGGAGGCCATTGCAGGGACTCAGAAAGCAGGAGCAGATTGGCAGCAAATCTGCTCCTGCTTTTCTGCACATGTAGACATGTGCCTGGGACTGCTTATTCATGACTAAACAGATCAGATGCACATGTAGATGTGTCAAGCTGGTCCAAAAAAAGATATCAACCTAAGAAATCCTTGCCTCTTACATAATTTCTGGACCACCACAGGTACAACACTGTTACAATTAAGGATGCACTAGCACCAGCACACACACCAGGCTTAGTTTCTTCATAAGACCAAGCTGTCCTATGCGCCCTGGATAGGCTCTCTTCTTCCCCTGATCCGCTGTCTTCTCTCCTCAGCCTCAGACATCTCAGATAAATAAGGGGTACCCACACCCAGGCCCCTGTGCCCTCAATTTATAGGGCTTTTGTTTATCAGGTCAGGAAAAGTTAATCCCCCACTCCCCAAAACCCATTTTGGTGCAAATGATTTGGACAGCAGATAAGCTGGTACCATCCTGGCAACTTTGTGTCATTCAACCATACTCTTTTCCAAAAAAAGAGTGCCTAAAATTTGTCCAGGTAAAACAGGAGCCATGTCTTGTCAGCTATGCCAAGGAGGGTCACCCACAGGATCCCTTTTGGGCCATGGCACAACAGAGGGCCAGGCACAAGTCACCCATGTGTCAAAGCACCGGTCCCTGCTCACATGAATGACTGAATGGGTGAAAATGTATTAGATATATAGATGAAAGAAAGAACTCGTTTATTGTAAGGGTGACAAGGATCTGGAATACACTATCCAAACTGGTCATGTGGTTAGTCCCCGACCTTGGAAATCTTTGAAGACTGGACAGATGCCTTCCTGTGATCATTTGATCTCAGCACTGCTCAAAGTGCCCTGAGTAGGGAGGTTTTACTTGGATGATCTTTCCAGGTTCCTTCCAGCCTTTACTTGCTATGAATGTACAAGATTCCTAACCCACTATTCATCAAGCAAGTCAGCTGCACTCTGTGAAACGGCCTTGTTTACACATTGTCTGCCATGCATGACCGGGTACCACCATGGATGACAGTATCCAGCATGCATGCAAGGTTAGTGTTGGCTGGCTTTCACCACCCAGCCCTTTACTGCAACAGTGGCACAAAATTAATAGCTATTTCTTGGCTTTGAGTGCTTCCATTCACCCTTTAAACTATCATGTGGTTCTCCAGTTCTATCAGGGAAGTTACTCACAACTACTTTGCCCCATGTTAGCCACCACTTTCCCCCAGTACTGTGACCACATTATGCAAAGGCCAGGCTTGAGCCTTCTGTCTGTACAAATGCCAGGGATGGGGCAGGCAGGCATGATCATGGTCAGTCCTGGGGGGTGGGGGGAGGGATGGGCTTGGAAGGGGTCTCTGGCACCAATGTCTGGGTAAATGGGTCACAGGGTTTGGGGTAACGGTTCTTATGCTCAGGCCAAATCCCTAGAACTCCCCCCCCCCCAACTGGTGCCTGGCTCCAGTGAAAATTGTTGCATTGGGGAAAATATGTTAGTGCAGCAGTGCTCCCAAGACTGCATGAAAGTAGCAACCTTGATGAACCAATTCTATCCCTCCACCCTCCAGTGAAAGATACCTCTTAGTCCTTCTGTGTCTGAATTTCCAAAACCCCTCTCCCCAAAACCACTGATTCACTTTCCAGACTTATTTTCATGATCCTGCAGGATGGTTAAGCATGACCACCTGCTTTATGAATAATGGATAATTTTTTTCCCCAACATGTATGAATGCGCATGCTGAGCCTTACTATAGGGTAGGTGGAGTGGCCTGACAGCACCACCCTGGCCCCTTGGTCCCACCACCTCAGAACAGTGCAGCACAGTACACACACATACACAGAGGCATGATAAGGTTCACACACCATTTTATTTGTCATTCCCTTTCCCTTTCCCAGAACTGCACGGGAGTGAGTGCACCCCTCACACACCAAGGAAGGCATTAATTCCAGCAGCAATGTCATCCTCATTATTGGGGCTTAGGGTCATATAGCGCTGTGATGGGTATCCATACAGCCATTGGTGGAAGTTGCCTGGCAGACCAGGCTTACCCCCCATGCAGTCATAGCTAAGTGTCCTGAACCATGAGTACAGGTGTGCACAGGGCACCAAAAGGATCAGTAGCAGCAGGGTGTAGTGGCTAGGGCAACCTTCAGCCTGCACAAAGATCTCATTGCATACAGTCCAGGGCACATGCAGCATTGATATATTCTGTGCCCATTGCCATGGGGGGGGGCAGGCGTCCCTGGGTCACCTCCCTGGAGAGCGCACCCAGGGGGTGGTGGTTGCTCAGCAGAACTTGCAACAGTTGTCCTTCAGCCCTGTGTGACATGACCCTGGGTGCTGAGGGCTATGCAGCAGCAGATCATAGAGGCTGTCCTGTGGCTGGCCAGCACCCAGCAAGACACTGTCCCAGAAGGGACATAGAGGAGGGGGAGGTTGGTTGGTGGCCTGCAGTGGCCTCCTGCCACCATTTATGACAAGTTGACTTACCACTGTCACTGTACACCACCATCCATGGCCAAGCTTCTGATGGAAGGCAGGGGATTGAACTAGTTGCTGAATATCTTATCTGTGAAATGTTGCAAAGTTTCACAAAGGGCTTCTGTCTCTTGGCTCTCCAGAGCCAACATCTGCATGTGGAGAAGAGTACATCTCTGGGTACAGAACACTTCAAGGTTATATATGCATCCTGTATATAGAAATTATGTTTAACAAAGAAAATATATAGAAGATGTGTCTAGGTTGACTGTTCTGTCCAAAGATTGCCACTTACCAATGCTTTCAGGTCTGGGCCTTTTCTTGTCAGTTCAGGATATTACCACTTCACATTTCAAAGACAGCAGTTATCACCTACTTGGGCGAGCTCCCTCTCTTTGTTCTCCTGGTGCAGTAACAGGAGCAGCTGAGAGGGGCTTCTTAACACTTTATCCCGATCTTCCTCTTTCACAACCTCCAGCCACACCCACAGAATCTGAGGCTAGCCAAAGAATGCTTGGCTTTTCTTTCTTCCTTCCCCCACTCTCTCTCTATCCCCCTACCCCCACCTGCATCCAGATGCAGGCATTTTTGCACCTTCCCAAAAAAGAAGGCAGGCAGACATGGGAAAATGCAGCTTTATAACACCCAAGATTTTACAAAGGAACACACACGTAAGTAATGGAAACCAAGAAATTACTGAAATAAAATTTAGTAGAAACAAGTAAGAACTTCTCTCCCATCAATTGCCTTTCTTTTCTAAGAAATCTGCAGCAGGAACCTGTGGTGGAGGTTGATTACTTGGCTTTCTTTCCCATCTGTGTATCCCCCTTCTGACCCTCCCCGCCCTTCCTCCCTGAACTGCAGTGGTGCTCTCATGGCCCTGCTGGCATTGGGGCACCCTCAGTTGACTGCAATGCAGGTGGGGGAACAAGCTCAGCTGTAGTACACCTAGCTACCTCCTAGACAGAAGCAAGCTGAGTGGAGCTACTGTGCACTTTCTGGTGGGGATGGGGAGGACAGAGGAGGTGGGGGGAAACCCATTTATGAATGTTTGGGCTTGTTCACACACTGAAGGACATGGTCCTTGATCATTGCATGCATCTCCTGCAGATCCTCATGGCACTGCATGGCCAGGTCAAGAAACTGATTTGTGTGGTCTAGGAGATGCTTCATGAATTTTATGGTGCTGTCCATGCTTCAATTCTCCCAGTCATCATCTGCCCTAAGCACTTCCTGGACTTTGTCCCACCAGTCATGTGTGGCAGCGACTCGTGTTTATGATGCCTCCACCAAAGCTTGCATCATGCTGTCTCTGGAGCATCGCTGCCTGCAGCAGTATTCTTGTGCATGCTCTGCTAATATGAGCTGGGGTCCGAGGCTCAGACACACATCCCTGTCTGGCATCAGGCGTGGTAGCTGGTAACAAGAATAGCAAAAAAAGTGTTCATGCTGTAGTAAAATATCTCTTCCCCAAATGTTAAAAAGCATGGTGACCCAACTCCCACACTACATGCACAAACCCCCCGGCACATCCAACCCAATGGCACCAAAACAGTGCCTGCCAGAGTGGCAATAATGAATATAATACCCATTCTGCAATACTTACAAGTCCCCAATCATATGTCCTCTTGCATCTAATGTATAGAAACTGATCTTTGGGTCTCTGGAGGTATCTCTGATGTGGTAACCGCATCCAAAACAGTGTTCTCCTCCTCTTCCTCATCTATGCTCTCCAGTAAAATTGGAGGAGAGACTGGGGACATGATTGGGGTCACCTCGTCTTGGCCATCCCTGTCAACCAGCAGCATTGAGCAGTTACCGCAGTGCTCCAACATGTTCATGGTTTCCATCTCAGGACACTCTGAGGCTCCTTTGTTAGATGTGCTCTCCAGGACAACACCAATACCAAATGATCACAGACAGGAAGCCTCGCCAGTGACCTGGGAGAGAATGACAGACAGCTGGTCGTAGAAAGGAGGAATTATGCATGCTGCCCCAGAATGAAACTTTTCATCCTTGGCCCAATGATATGCACATTTCAGGGCCTTGATCTTGCTCTGGTACTGTCCAGTCCCAGTTATGCCCTCATACCTTAATTTATTTTGCTATTGCGGTACACACAAGCTTATTCCATTTACTTTCCAGATCCTCAATGATCTTTTCCTCCAAAAAAATGTTGATTAAGTCCTTCAGTTCTTCCCAGGTCCAGTTGGGGCCATGGTTGATAGATGTATCAACCTCCTACTCTGTTGCCTGCATACTGGACTTGTTTTTCTGAGACATCAGGAAGCTGTTAGTGCCCCAAAAGTTGTCAAGATTGAGGTATCCTGACAACAACAGAGTCACAAAAAGGTGGCTGGCAAACTTTGAGGGGCTGTTATATAGGCATGTCTTGAATGAAACTTTTTGAAAATTCCACATACTCATAACTGTGAAGGTGTCAACTGTCTCAGAATTGGCAGTCAGGGCAACCTGATCAAGCACCGTTTATAAACAAAGCAATGGTGATAGGTTTTGCCTGGCCCAATTTGGCCCCCCTTGTCCATATGGATAGATTGCTAAAGTCCCCCTGCTGATCACACCCAAGTGTCTGTGGTTGGCAGCTCTTCCTACAGGCAAAACTTCCCCTATCCTTGCTGTGCCACCTAATCAAGTGCTCCCCTGTGCTGGGGATCGTAGGGCACTGTATTCTTGATTTCCAGAACCCCAGATTTTTTCTCAATGAATGATTTAATATCTGGGAGATGGGAGAGGGGGCCAGAACTTGATCCAGCATGTTAGGGGAGAAGAGCAGGGTGCAGGAGGCTTCAACGCTCAGGCAGCAGTACAAATGTAGCATGGGTGTTAATTAAGGGCCATTCCAAAACCAGGTGGGAGTTGAGTACAGATATTTGTTGGGAGATGACTTGATGGTTCTGGTGCCTCGATGCCTGCCGTAGGTCTTGAGGTGTTATGGTAGCTATTAAGACATAGCACTGTCCATTACACAGCCCTGTTTCAAACCTTGGCTAGGACAGGGCAGGGTTCTTTTCTGCGGAGATGCTTCTTTCAGACCAGGTTCATTGCAGGGCATGGCTGTTTTATGGGGAGATTTTTTTTCAGCCTTGGTTTCTTGCAGGGCACCTCCTGTTTTCATGAGAAGATGCTTCTTTCTAAACTTGGGTGCTTGCAAGGCAGGCCTGTTTTCTAGGGTGATGCTTCCTTCAAACCTGTGGAATTGCAGGGCCAGTCTCTTTTCTGGGGAGATGGTTGTTTGCAAAATGAGGTTATTGCAGGGCAGCACTCTTTTCTGTGGAGATGCTTCTCGGCTGTGCCTAGTCATTGATCCAGTAAAAGACTATCTTACCCCCAGGGTGCATGTCCTAAACACCATATTTCAGTTCTAAGTGGACAGGCAGTACATCACCTTCTCACACCCACCCACAACAGTAAAAGGCCATTGGCCTCTGCTGCACCAATGCCCAGCGCACAGACACCTGAGTAAGGTAATCATTGACATGCAGATAAGAGGTCACTTTCAATGCTAATTGATTGTATCCAGCTGCCATTTCTATTCAGAGCCCCCTCTGCCTAAACCCCATGAACCTTGGTGGTGCTGTGTGCTGAATAGCGGCCCTTTTGCATACTGGCAAACAACCTGGCTTCATGGAATCTAGACAGGATGAGTGAGGAGGACCAAGTGGAGATTCCAGACAAAATGTGTGAGGAGGATGACATGTAGATTCATGACAGAATGAGTGAGGAGGCCAAAATGGAGAATCTATACAAAATGGGTGAGGAGGACAAAATGGAATTGAGTCTCCCCCAGGAAGTTCTTGATGGCTTCAATGCCATGGGGTTCCCTAACTACATGGGGGCTTTAGACAACACACACATCCATGTGCAATCTCCCTCACTGGTAAGCTGCTCATTCGTGAACAGGAAGGGATTTGCCTCGGTAATCCTGCAAGCCATGGTGGATCACCGGGGCCTGTTCACTAGCATTTATAAAGGATGGGCCAGCAGCGCTCATGCTGTGCATGTGTTTAGAAACTTTCTGCTGTCTAGCTTGTTGGGGAAAGGACACCATGTACCTGGAGTCCCCAACAGTGATCCGTGGTGTTGCCATCTCCCTGTTTATAATAGCCAACGCTGTTTACCCCCTCAATCCATGGCTCATGAAGCTTTATGGAGGGCACGTTACCCACCCACAGAAGATGGCTTTCAACTACCATCTTGGCAAATGCAGGATGGCTGTTGAATATGCCTTTGGCCACCTCAAAGCTCGGTGGAGGGCATTGAACTGCAGGCTCGAGTTGGAGCCAGAAAATATAATGGTCTTTCCTTCACAATCTTCATCTCTTTCTGTATCTATCCTCTCCTCCCTCTCCTCTTCTCCTTTCTCTTGCTCTTTCCTGGCTGCTTTCATTCTATTAGTATAAGAATCTGGGAAGTCCTTAAAAACCATGTCCTTCCTACTAGCCTAGATTACATCTTAACGGAGTTTCACACCATGCTGCCACATGGTCCCAGCCCCCAATTTAAAACAATCCCTCTTCTGGCTGCTGCCAGGTGGTCTTTCCCACAACACTTACTACATTTTTGGTTGTCCTAAGTAATAAAGGAATTTTCTTTGGGGACGAACTTTCATTATTGTGGGCAAATATATTATCCCTCCTGCCATTGCTGCATGTTCTCCCAAATATATTCTCATCTGCCTCTACTCTGTTCATATTCCCGTCTGGCCCAGCAGCTTCCAGGTCCCCTCCACCCTTATGCATATGCTCTCCAACCACACACTGATATCTTCTTTATGTGCAACATCACTAAACATATGTATAATTACTACTTGCTCCCAGTTCCCTCCCAGCCTCATGACCTTAAAATGCTGCACTACAACGTCTTCCTTTACCAAATGATATCTGTCCCAACACCTTTATAAGGCAAGCATGCCAATAAAACTTACATCCCATACTCTGTCACTCACCATGGTCATAAAACTTTTCAGGTCACATGCATTCACTGTTGTTACGCTGAGCAGCAGCACACGCACATCCTCTCTAGTTACAGAAGCCCAGGGCTTCTTAATTCTTTCCTCACCAGTTACTTCAATCCTCACAACCATCCATATTCTGTTTCCAGCCATCATCCATCCTTCTGTGCTCATAGGTCCTTGTCCTCTTGCCACTGACTGCTCTCCTGTCACTGTGGTCCATCCTCTGGGTGGCATAGTCCATAGCCCACCATCATAATCCTGTCAGCCATTGACTAAGGGTTTCTTCCTCTGCTGTCTCACCTCTGTCCAGCCCATCACCAATCCATCTTCAACCACTGTAGATCCACCTCCATCAGTATGGTCAAATCCAAGTAAAAAATTCAACAAGGACCAGCCCCTCACCCAAAGGGAGACACCAGTCCTCCAGAAAATCCCCTTGCCTCTCCCTTCACCACTTTCTCAGGATTTAGAAAAGCTTCCCACAGCAGACCATCAGACAAAACTGTGGACTAGCCCATAATCCATTGCCATATGTGCACTTAAATGGGGAGGCTGCTCTCCCCAGAAGTTAATCAGGAAGTGCTAATAGTGGCCAGCTGGTTCATCAGCTAGGTGGGGCTGTCAGTTAAAGCTTCTGGCAGGTTTGGCCATCTTGGTAATTACTCCAAGCTGCACTGCCTGCTAGAGTACCAAATATAAATTCATACTAATATTTTTAACTTAAAATAACAATGCCTTTTTTCAGAGCAGGGGCACATGAACAACTTAGATATAATGAGGGAAAGGGAGACTGGGCTTTACAGTGTGCTGGCTGTTCTTTAGTGACTACTCAAGTGCTTGCTGTGATAAATTAAAGGTAACCCACAAGAAAGGAGTCTTTTCATTATTCAAGATAAAATTGCATTGGATGTTTAGCATGATTGGTTTTAAAATACAAACTGAGGGGTAACTTATGGTAGCATATGCTATCAACCATGAAATGCAGTTTCAGAGGTTTCTCCCCTTCTTTTCTCAAGATGGATCATCTAGTCCAGGAATGGGCAAAGGCTGGCTGCTGGGCCAGATCCGGTCGTCTCTGGACTCCTTTTCCCAGCCACCCCTGTGCATGGCTTGGCCAGTCTCTGTGGAGATCCCAGCTGCACTTGTGCAGGAAAGCTCAGGCTGGGGTTGCCATGGGGACCAGCTGAAGCTGTGCTGGCGGGATGCATGGCAGAGCAGGGCAGGGCGCTGCTCTGGAGCTGCTGGGATCTTGTGATGGGGGCAGCTTGTTCCAGAGCCAGGGCAGAGCCACAATCTTTAGCCTGTATGCTCTGGGCAGGGGTGTGCATGCAGGGGATCATGGCTGTGCCCAGGCTCTAGACAAGGCTGTCACCACTGCAAGGAGCCAGGGCAGAACCATGATCCCCTACTTGCGCACCCCTGCCCAGAGCATGAAGGCTACAGATCTCGGCTTTGCCCTGGCTCTGGAGCAAGCTGCCCCCATCCCAAGTTCCCAGCAGCTCCAGAGCAGCCCCCTGGCAGCCTCAGCTTGAACTTTCCTGCACAGGTGCGGCTGAGATCTCCATGGAGACTGGCCTAAACCATGAGGGAAGGGGCTGCTGGGAAATGGAGTACAGCTTTCAGCGAGATTGGCCATTTTGCTCACCCCTGATCTAGCCCCTATTTAGGTCAGGGTGGATAAAAATCAATGTTTTCTTTAAAGCAAAAAAATTGGATTTTTTATTTAAATCAGGTTTTTTTATTGTATTTTTTTTTGTTAAGATGCTTTTAAAAAAAACCCCAACCTATATAAAGATAATTTTAATTTAAGATATGTTAAAGCTCAAAGATATCATAATGGAATAGGGATAACAACTTCTAAGTATATACTATTTGAGACAATATATTCATGTAACCTTTTTAGAAAAGTTTTATAAATAGGTCACAGCAGGCCATGAACTATATTAGGGGCCCAATCTTATGGGGTTCCCAGAGGCTCCTCTATAGATTAGTAAAGATTAAAGAAAACCACTCTACCCATGGGACTCAGTGCTCAGTCTAGAAGATCCCATTAAGCATCTCTGTGATGTTTTGTTTCAGTTCTCAAACTGTGGATTTGTCTCCACAGATAACATCCTTGTTAACAGCCATACATGGAGATGAGAGAGAACAGACCTGATTACTTACCATAAACACTGCATGCCCCTGGAGGCTGCGGGGGCATGGCAAGTTCCCTCAGGCAGCCACAGAGGTGTTGGCAGCAAGGGAAGAAGGGTGGCAAGTGCCAACCAGCAGTTGGCAACCACCCGCAGATACTGCCGGCAGTGTCAGCAGCAGCCAGAGGCAATCAGGGACTGCCTGCAGATGGTACAGGCAGTGTCGGTGGCGAGGGGCGGGGTGGTGAGCTGTGATCAACCTCAGGCACTGCTGGCGCCATCAGCAGAGCTTTTTTCAGGGGGTGCACTGCTAAGCTCAGTGGGTGCACGTGCACCTACGTGCGACCCCTACACATTGCCAGTGTTACCTACCCATCAGCCCTTTTGTCTCTCTGCAATTTTGGGTACACGGAGTCAAGCCCTTACCTCTTTCTAAAAGTACAAAGTTTCAAGAAGGACATCAAACAACAGGAATGTAGTTTTTATAGAAAATAATGATTAAATTGAGGCTTCCTCACCAGTGTTTTAAATAATTATTTAAAACCTGATTTAAATCGATTTGATTTAAATCAAACCCACCCTAATTTTGATAGACTCCCTAATTTACTATTTTATGACTAGGTTTATAATCTGGCTCTCAATTTGTTGTGCCTTATTTTTCTATCTTCAATTGTGTTCCTAAATCCATTCTATCAGTATTTCATCTTTATTAGATTCTGCAGTTATCTGAGTTAGATGTTCTTATACATGAGTGACTTTGTTTTCTTGTTAATAAACTTTTTGTTGAACTTTAATTTTCACCAAAGATCTGGAATTTGAGTAGGGTTGATGAGCTCTTCTCTTTAGACATACCACAAGTACAACAACAGTATTTGCTTCCTAAGCCTCCCTGTCAAATATTAGTTATTCTGAGGAAAACCTACAAGGGTGGGAAAGTGTAAGACAACACAGTCTCCTTCTCTGAAAAGAGGTCATTAAAAATCAATTAACAGGCTTTTGAGTGCCTTGCTTACTTTACACCCTTCTATATCTTAGACATAATGTGATTTCAGAGCTTAACCCCCAGGATAGCACAACCTCAAAATCTAACAGCAAGATCTATGGTTCAAACTCCAGTATGAAGCTGCATGGTACAGGCACTATTAACATAAAGTATTAGTCTGACACCTAGCGGTTTTATTCAACTGATGGGATAAAATTCATGATAACTAATTATTGTAATCAAATCAGTTTTTACCAATATATTTTATGTATTTAAGTAACTGGCATTAATGGTTTGAATGAAGCAAGTAGGATTGCATCCCAGTAAAGTGGTGGGTTGTTATATTTGTCAATGGATGTAATGATTCTGAAATGACTGCTAATTTACAGTGCTGTAGATGTAATAGGGAAGCAGTGTTGTTGTAGCTGTTATAGTCCAGGAAATGTCACCCCCAAAGTCTTGCCAGACCTGCAGAATGCAGGCTTCAATCAGGTCTGGGAGGCTCTTTGTCCCCTCCCACCCCCATGCCAGGGTGGGGCCAGCCCTGCCCAGTAGCTGTTAGATTGTAGCACAAATCCAGTAGCACAGATCCATGGCCCCACACACCTGGGAGGAATCCGGCATATCCCCGCAGCCCTCCTGGGGGTGCAGGCCCCCAGATCTGTGTGCCAGATGACAGGAGGCTGCTGCTGCTGGCAAGTGTCATAAATTTTGCTTTCAAGACTTTAGGTGCAGCTTATGAGAAACCTCTGCACCTATCTCCTTGAAACTTGGCAGTCTTCATGCCCTCAGAAGGGGCTACCATCCCTGCAATTTTCATCCAAATTAAGCAAGAAATTACAATGTTTTAGGCATTTTCATGATTCCCCATTATAGCCTATGGGTGAAACGTGAAAATGTGTTGCAACAGCGAACAGTTTTGACAAAATGAAATGGGACAGTGCTCTGAAACAAAACAAAACAATGAAGCAAAACACTGTCCTGGACATCAAAATGAAATGATGGTTTTTTTGCACAGCCCTACTGTTTATTTTGGATTTTTCTTTGTTTCTTGAACTCTGTTTACCCTGACAGGATTTGCAGGATCAAGGTGGTGTGAGGAAGGGGTGCAGGGGATAGTGGAGCTCCATATATCTCAATAACCACATGCCATGCTGCTGTGCTTTTCAAAGCCAATTTTCTTCTGTTAGCATTGTCATTTCTTTTTGTTGTTGTTGGGGGTTTTTTGTGAACATCCTTCCATACATCAAAAAGAAAAAAATTAAAAGAATTCTGATTGAACATCAAAGTCATGGCAGATGAGATCTTTTCAAATGGGAGGGCATAAGAAGGGATAAGATAAGACACCTTTTCCCCTACAAAACAGAAGGAAAAGATGTCATCCCAGAAGGGACCTAAGCCCTATTGCACCTATAGTTGACAATATGGAATAGACTTTGACATAGGACAGACCCATATGGGATCCTACTTGAAATGCCCCCAAAGTGTCAGAGTGATTAATTGCCATAGATTATTTGAGTGCAATTGGGATTGGGGTGTGGTACTTCTAGTTGTGCTTCCCAGAGTGGCTGAGAGGTGGGAGCAGTGAGGGAAGGTCCCACCGGGACCCTACCCCAGGAAGGAAGCCCCAGATTATGGGGACCTGACTCAGGCCTCTACTTTGTTCTCCACCCCAACATCCTTAGACCGCAATCTTGGACGCATGCATGCCCTGCAGACTGGCTAGCTGGCATATGCTTTGCCAGCAGTTTGCACCTCTGAAGGTGAAAGGTCATACCGCTGGAGAGGGGGAGTTGACCTGTTGCCAGAACCATCCCTTTGGCAGTAGAGTTCAGGGGATGTAAAATTTATTTACTTGGGAGGTTTGGGGTGGGCATACTGCATCCTGGGATGCTGGAGGACTGTAACCTTGGCAGCTCATCTGTGAGGGGTGGCCACACCTTAATGGAACACTAGCTGGTACAACAACTTGGGAGGAATATAATAATATTGTTTTGGAATACAGGGATAAAGTCAGAAAGGCCAAAATGCAATTGGAATTGCAGCTAGCAAGGGACATGGAGGGTAACAAGAAGGGTTTCTACAAGTATGCCAGTGACAAAAGGAAAGTAAAGGAAAGGGCGGGTCCCTTACTGAATGGGGAAGGCAACCTAGTGACAGATGACGAGGAAAAGGCTCAATGTGTTTTTTACCTTAGCCTTCACGGTCATGGTCAGCT